TTTATTGGTTTAATGGTTTAAAAATCAGTGCTTTGCTGTGGTCGCGAAAGATCCGCGAAAGCACGGCGAAAGGGCCAGATGAAGCTTTTGTGGGTTTTCCTCGGGCCGCGAAAGACCGCGAAAGGTCCGCGAAAGGCACGGCGAGAGGGTGGTTTTGAGGTAAAGAAATATTGGACAACCCCCATATGAGCTATAGTCTTAATACAAATGGGGGGCTATACGGGCATTCAATAGGGACGTATTATACAGGGTTATGAAGGGGGACACTAGGAGTTTGGACAATGGCTCATATGAAGTTGTATAGAGAGGGCTTGTTTGGAAATGCTCTTATGTCTGGGCAGATGCTGAGGTCTGGACATTCGGGATTTGTGGTGTTAGGGTGTATACCGTAAACGCTACACCCTATAGTGCCTTAGACACCCCGCCGCCCCCTTGTGTTGAACTAAATCTGCACCCAGGCCACCAGCAAACTTGAACTGCGGCTCATGATTTTTGAGGTTAACCCTAGGGATCCACATACATTGGGCCCTAAAGTCTGTTAAACTTACCTACATTGTTCTACTTGGATCCCTAGGGTACGGGTTGTATTAAGTATCCTACAGTCGAAGTGAGCAATTTCACCCGCACCTTCTGCAATATACTCCCCAGACTAAGATGAAACCCCAACAAGTGCCTACAAAGACGACTGCTGTTTGGACAAAGGCTTTCCCTGGTTTCATGTGAGCTATAGTCTAAACTCCTTCAAGGGGGGGGGGGTTATAGAGGGGATGATATAGGAAGTATTATGAGGCCTATTAAGGGGGGGTACTAGGAGTTTAGACTATAGCTCATGTTAGTTTGTGACAGTGGAGGCTTTAGGGTTTAGGCTTTGGAATTGGATGTACGAGCCTCGCTTCGAGGATCTGGTGGCAACTTGCAAGCCTAAACCCGGAATCCCAAACCATAAACCCTGAGCCCTAAACCCTATAGTCCCTCTTAAGTAGATAGAGTATGGGGTATATGGGGATCTTACCAAAATATACCCAAAGCCATATTCTATTTACTCAAGGGGGACTATAAATCCTAAACCCTGAATATTAATCATCCGTAAACTTGCCGTCCCGCCGGAATGCCTAAGTGGCTTGCACTTGGTTTCTTATCCGACCACTACGTACTCTCATGGGTTTCCTTCTACCCCCCCCACTACTACCCCCCCTCCCCCCGTAGGTTCCTTCCCCAAATAAGCTTAATTGGGGAGGGAACCTACGGGCGCTAGCAGGGAAACCATCTGTGCAGTTTTGACCCCTGTCTGACCTCAGTGTTCACCTTGATTCCCCCTAGATATGGGGGTTTCCAACATTAGGGGTGCCTTTTTTTGGTGGTCCATACAATAAGGATTATAGCATTTAAGTGTTTATGTGTTGTTCCCCCCTTTCAGGGAAACTGCCATATTCCAACCCTGAAGGGTTTGGACTTTAGAGTCCTTGAAGCGTCTCAGAGTTGCTATATAGGGTCCCAAGGATCAGCCTTGCTTCAACAAGGCCCACTAAGAAGCTTTGCACTGTTGTCTGTTCGTAGGGAACGTAGGAACGCATCCCAATAGTGGCCCACATATGTAGGCATCCAGAACACCGTCAATTCCATCTTCTGGTGCTTTTCCTAAGCACCCTCAAGCCCATAGTAGTTGCCTTTTGCTTATCTATCCCCCACTAACAGCTAGCAAGTTGACAGTTGCATTTGAAGGGCTTCGGTGGCGCCGGTGCATCCGTGACCGACAACAGCTGCCGATGCCCTGGCACCCCCCAAATTAACTTGGGAGTCCTGTCAGAGTCTTTCTATGATTTATATCCGCGTATCTAGGCATACATCTGGGAATGCGCAGGGTTGATATGGTCCGGGGCGGTAATCAGAAACAGACAGAGGTTTTAGCGTTGAGGGTTCAAGTTACCGCAATATGAAAAAGTGGTAAATAATGGGCTCTCCCTATTATAGCAACTTAATTATCTTAAGTTCCTTACCAGCAACGCAGCTTGAAATATTGGTGGAACGTATGTTCCATGATGGCCATGTTGTGAACAATCCCAATGTAGACGCCCACACATTACAATCCTTATTATGGGGAACCCAAACCCTAAACCCTAACACCCAGACCCCCAAAAGGATCCAAAAATTAGATCCCCTAGAACCATAGGGGGAACTATATAAGGATTATATAGGGGTTTTAATGGGTCTTTATAGGGGATCTAATTTTTAGATCCTCCCAGGGGTCTGGGGGCCTAAGCCCTAAACCCTAATCCTCCCAGGGGTCTGGGCAGGAATCCTATCACACGAGGTCATGGCGCCTCCAGGGACATGCAGCTCCTGGCTCTGTGCTGGTTGCTCCTCAACTTGCATAGGGAGAAGGGTTTACGGTTTAGGGGTTTAGGGCTTAGGGTCTAGGGGTTTAGGGTTTAGTATTTAGGGTTTAGGGTGCTCCTCAACTTGCATCGCAGAGGTTTTAGGGTACCTCGTCTCCGCAGTAGAGTTCCATTTCAAGTTGGGCCTCCCCACGGGGCCCCGCGGTATAGGAATACATAGGGCCTGAATCTGGGTACCATGATATATGAGGGGGATTTTAGGTCATTGAGGGGGTGGGGGGGGCTTCATAATTAAAACCTGCAATGTAGAGGTTCGGGGGGGCGGGGGTTGCTGCGTGTAGCCTGGGTTTAGCATGATCAGGGTTTACAGCTTTGGCTGGGCTGCTTTTCAGGAATTTAACTTAAGTTACTATATTGGGGTAACCATATTAATTACTATATATACCCATTAATGGTAACTTTATTTAAGTTCCTTAACAGCAACCCAGTAGGTTTCGGGTCCCGAGTTTCCGGTTTAGAGTTCCCTGGTGAGGGCTTGTCAGGCCCCAGGTCGACATTGAAGCCCCAAACACAGGAATGCGGCTTTACCATAAGGGCTCCAATTATATACCTAAATCTTGGGTTCTGGGCTCTATATACCCTATAGTTACATAAGCTTTGATTATATCACCCTAGGGCTCCGGTTATCTACATACTGGGTTCTGGGCTCTTTATACCCTATAGTTCCATAGCCCAGTAGCTAAAGGGACTCTACTGGGAACCCCAAACAGGAATATCATGGAATATAAGGACCCTGGTAGGTATATTCCTATTATATACCTACTATATTCTTGAGGTTCCCAGTTTGGGGTTCCCAGTACATAGCCCAGTAAGCAACTATGCAGGTGACTGGGAGCCCTGGGGTTTAGACAGTCTGCCACATGGAAAAGCTACATAGGGCTTAGGGTTTGGGAATTAGGGCTTAGGATTGGGAATTAGGATTTAGGGTTTGGGAATTAGGGCTTAGGGTTTGGGAATTAGGGTTTAGGGTTTAGGGTGCATGCTTGAATAGGAAGACCAGGAGCGGTCAAGTTACGGCAAAGGTCCAGCTTGGAAGGATCCACATTCTAAGTTTTCTCCACCGTGGTATTCATTCCCCAGGGATCCGAATAGCTCAACGTAGGTAATGTGGTCAGGAGAATATGTGTGGCACATGGGGCATGTGAAGCATAGGGGCGATCCTTTGCAAGCTTCTATTCTGCAGCATACATGGGTTGAAAGCAAGGGGAGATGTGGTTGTTGCTCGTAATTTCCGCAGCGGAAAATGCTTCATGAGGGCAGGGCATGTCAGAATTGTCACAGGCGTGGTCCTTCTTTGGCCGTGCATTAGAAGGAGGCCCCAGATGACTTCGTACACCCAGGGAGGCTCCAGATATATCAAGATACAGTCAGGCCCCCCAAGCCCCAACCACAGAAGCCTAAAACCTGAACCCCAACCCTTACACCCTGACTTTAGCCCCATCCAGTAACCTTACCTAGACCTTTCAAGTACCCGAAACGACAGCCTACGCACCCATTATTTTAGAGTTGAGGGCCAGCATTTATTCAAGCAGTCTAGGTACACCAAACCCTCTGCATCGTTATGTGCTTACTGGCCCTCCCCCTGCCCCGCCGCCCCGCTGGGGGGTTGGGGTGGACCCTCCCCCTGGGTGGATGTGGTTGGGTGGGATGAAGAGACATCATTTGAGGTCTTCCCCTCTCTCCCGTGTGTGTGGGTGGGTGGGTGGGTTTTGCAAATTGAGGAAGTGCGTAGGCCACTTGAAAAAGTTTATACGATATGGGATCGGAGAAGATATTTACATGGATGAAACAGTATGTTCTATATCATTCCTACCCCATGTTTTTGAGGTTTGTGAAGGGTTTTAGAAGGACGCATAAGCTACTTGTGGTGGGATATTCGAAATGTTCAAGTATCAACATGTACCACAACCCCAAAGATCGTGCTCCAAAGTGGCCCATCCCTGTAACTGTTTTCATTTTTGGAATTTTGCACGCAGAGTCAGACTCCAAGAGTGACGACAGTCACGAAGATGGTTCTTTCCAAATACCCAATCCCTGTGCCTCTTGGCACTTCGGAGATTGCGAAGGGCAAAAAGGACGACAGTTTCGGAGATTCTGCGCGTTCATGGCCTTCCCCCCCCTCCCAAATCACACCATGTGGGGGGCCAGGAACGCCAGACACCTGACCATATACCCCTGTATATGCCTATACAACCTCTCTTAGGGGATCCTCTACCCTACACCCTCTTGCATGGAAGCCTTGCATGCCGCGCTGCTGCTAAGGCTTTCCTCCGCAGTGGCTGGCTGCTTAGCATCCCGCGAAGCCTCACAAACAGAAGCCTGGTACTAGTAGCAATAGATTCTTATTGTTCATTGAACTTATACTTTGAGATTTGTTCTATCTGTTAAATATGTGTAGTGTGATGGTAAGGTCGCCGCTACGCTCTTTCTTTCTTCTTGGCCTGTCCGTCTCCCTCTCCCCCTCTCTCTCTCTCTCTCCTCTCTATTCCCGTCTCTTTGCTCTCCTTGCTCTCTACGCAGCCGCAGCTCGCGTACAGCCTATGCAAGCTACATGTATTCTGCAGATGCGATGTTGGCTTGCAGCAGTGGCTGAGGTCATGAACACGACCGGAAACCTTGATGAGGCCAGTGAAGATCTGCACGCCATTCATATACCACCCCCTAACTACTCTACATTAAACACGGCCAATGCTCGGCTACATTCCCGAATAGGTGTGGACATAACGGTCCTCTTGGTAATTTAGTGGAGTCCGACTGTATTCCTTGGCAAGAACCCATGGCCCATGTCCACTGATATAACCCCTCTTGAAGAGTTTAGACCCTACACCCTATATAATCCGCTATATAGCCCCGTTTAAGGAGTTTAGACCGCAACCGTATAACAGAGCTTTGATTGTAGCACGTTATCATATCCCAGTCGCCTCCTTTTCCCTGCAGCAGGTTCTTTCGGGTCTATACTGGGAAGTTCAGGGTAGTTCTAGTCTGATAGCAGACTTACACCCCAAGTATACGCATCCTACGTACTCTACTAAGTTTCTGACCGGGTTATAAGCGCACCAGTCACAATGCAGCCATTACTGTTTACCCTCAAGTAGGCTCCATGACGGAGACTTTGACCGCACATCGAACGGGGAACCCTAAACCTTAAACCCTTGGGGCTGTAGTCCCCCTTAAGTAGATAGAATATGGCTTTGGGTATATTATAGTAAGATCCCCATATACCCCCTATTCTGTCTACTGAAGGGGGATTATAGATTGCTGCAGCTACAACCTGCAGAAAAATGAGTTGGAATGAGGCTCTACCAGGATGCCATTCTTGGAAGGTCAAGGGGACTTAGCTTAGCAGGTAATAGTCCCCCTTAAATAGACAGAAAATCTTGTATATGGGTCTACCCAAAGCCATATCCTATCTACTTCAGGGGGACTAGAACCGTGGGGACAGTTGGGGTTACTGTATGGCTCACACGGGTTCGGAACATACTGTACTTGCTTAGCCCCTCTGACCTTCCCAGTGCCTTTGTTTGAGGAAGGATTTTCATAATGGATGCAGCTTTGGGATCTATAGGGAGCACATGAACCCTAACCCGAAACCCTGAACCCTAAATATATCATGGTACTGTATCTTCCCATGGGAGCGCGACGCTAACACTGCGACAGATTACTTCGAATGACATCCCACATGCTACAACAAACCTGTATACAGACCCCAAAGCAGAGCCTACATCCAATGTCCATGGCAAGATATATTGGTTACTTACTGTTGATGGAGGAAATCATGCACCACCTAGGGGCCCTAAACTACTGTAATTCCTGAGGCTTTAGGGAATAAGGTGGTGCAAGATCCCATCCATCAAAAGTATCAACATACGGACCCTCCCTGACATACAGCCATCTGCATGTTAACAGACACTCACGACTCCCCCCAAAAACTAAAAAAAAACAAGTGTCAGTTAATCCTTTCTAGAGGCAACCTTCGACCAACTGAAATCAGCGAGTCGATTCAGCGACATCGTGGAAGAGCGGGGTACAGAGGCGATCAGGGTTCAGGATTACCTAAACCCCAAAAGCATGTAAAATAATCGCCCTGAACCCCTAATAATAGCCATAAAGGCCATTATTTTACATACTTTTGGGGCTCCAGGTAAAGGTTTATAGGGTTTAGGGCGCTTTGGTTTGGAGGCTTCTGGGCTCAGATCTGGGGAGGCACACCACCTTCTTGCTAAAGACGACAGATGGTGTTGATATGGCCCGTTGGGGGTTCTATCCCTAAAGCCCCAAACCCTCAACACTCAGGTGGTGGTATGGGGATGAACTTAATCGCGGCTCCTGTAGGTCTTTGGAGTCTGGTCCAAAACCTGAAATCCTAAACCCTATGAGCCCTAAGGGCAGCCCTAAGGCTCCAAGTACCCAAGAATTAGGTACGTGGGGCTTGGGTACTATCAAATATGGTACAGTAAGCATGTGATTATCAAATTTTGAAGGTACTTGGACCCTTACGGCAGTGGGTCAGGTAGGCAATTTTTCCATGGCTGATCCTGACCTGGCTTGTTGAGAGTTTCGGGTCTATCTACGGTTAGAAGTTAGAGTCCCCCTTAAGTAGATAGAATATGAGTACGGTATATTCTAATAGGATCCCCACATACCGCGTAGTCTATCTACTTAAGGGGGACAATAGAAGTATGGACCGCTAATATGGGCCCTTAGGCAGATTCCAGGGACTGTAGCGATACATCTAGGGTATACAGTAAGTATATGAGAGTTTCCCAAAATTAAGGGCTACCTTGTGGGGGTCCATATAACAAGGACTACAATATTTGGGGGCTCTATATTGGGGTCGCTTTATTTTGGGAAACTACCATATAAGGTAGGGTCAAGGGCCCATGCGCCCACGGTTTCAACCTTAGAGTCTGTAGCCTTTCGGGTTTGGGAGGGCTTGGCTAAATGCTGAAGTTCTGTCTTGAGGGGATGTTAGGGGAGTGCATTTGAGTGGTTGTCAAAATTATGGTCCCTTTTTAGGTACCTTAAATATTAGATGCCGCATTATAATGGGGATCCAAAAAGGGCCCATAATTTTGACGACCACCCATATATGTATTAGGATGTGAGGATCTACACGATTTTACAGGGCGCATCGTCAGGTAAGTGCTTTCTCAATCCTCCTTATACATTTAGGGCTGAGGACTTTAGATGGTACTTTGCAGGTTCGCTGTTTGTTCTCAGGAGTGTACTGGAGAAGGTGTATGATTCCAGGCATAGAGTATGCCCCAGCCCTCATTTGAATTTCTACAGGAGTTGCGAAAGACTTCAGAGCCCGGATGCGCTCTCCAGACGTGCCCACCTAGGTTCTCTCAAAGAACGGGCTATACAAGTAATATGCCTTACTTTTCACAAGTTGTGATACACAGTGCATAGCATGGAGGAGCTGCAATAAGTTCGCTCTATCCGCAGTTGGAACAGCAATGACGCCGTAGCAAGTGCCGCGAGGTGAGTCGTATTGTTCTTAGACCTTTCTGGCTTCTTTGTTGATGATTGGCTTCTCTTAGAGGAATCGACAGGGCCGTTAGGAATAGGATCCTAAAGCAAGCGCGAGAAAGGGTCGCACCAAGCAAGTCGATGGGTTCATGTAGGCTACCACACGGCAGGCTTATGGGAAACCCGCGTTGCTGTGGGCCTTGCGCGACTTCGCAGAGCCTCAGCATGAAACAGGTGGGCACTTTCATGGAGTAGGATGTGTCGAGATCTAGCTGCCTGCTCCTGCTCCCTGAAGTTGACCGAAGGGAAGCTACTGCAGTATATGGAGGTTCTATTGGGACAGTGGAAACTACAATGGAAACTACTATAGGACCTCATCCTTGTCATTAGGACCTCCAAAATAGAACCCCTAATTTAGGAAACCCCCCTGATTCTGCAGTAGGAATGCCAAATTGGCAAACTGCCGGGCCACCTACAGATGAGGTAGGCTTTGATCACGGGTAGTTGGCGGGTGTAAGTATATAGGTTCTTCGGAACATGTTGGTCAGAGCCTGTATTGGGTGTCCCATGGCTAATTAAAACCGCGGGCTGTATGATTTCATATTTGCATCTTATATAGTATCCACTCCCACCGCCCAGAAGCCCCCCACTGCACCACTCTCGCTGCTGCTCCTGCAGCACCTCTTGCCTCCACTACTGCTGGGCTGCCATCGGCCCTGCTGATGCACACTGTCACTGCATCCGCTACCTTAATGTCATTATGAAGCCCTACGCTACACCGCCCCTGTTAACCCCTCCCCATTAAAGGCCTCGCATGAGGCCTAAGTAAGACCGAATCGAATTTCATTTGGGGCCTACTCTGGGGGAGAGAGAGTAGGAGGGAGTGTTGTCTTATAGGGTTTTATGGTCCTTCGTCATTGCTCCTGATAGAGCACGAGCACGAAGCCAAGGAGCTTCCTCGCGATGAGAAGGCGGGGAACATAAACAACGCCTGGTGATGCTTTTGTAGGGATTAGATAACACTAGTGTTTCGTAATATGCCTAGCTATAGTGATCCTAGTGCATGGCTGAGGACGCATAAATGAAGGCTTTAAACCCCCACGCACCCCGCCTCAGTTCCAAGACTCCATTGCTCAGCCTGCTCAGATGCTAGCGCAGGAATTTATAGCACAGGCTTAGGACAATGCATGATTCTCTTGAGGGTTATATGGTTATATAGGGTTTAGGGTTGGAGGTTTAGGGTTTGGGGTTATGTAGGGGTTATATAGGGGTAATGGAAGAGAAAATGAAAATGCTATTAAGGGTTGAAGGTTTAGGGGTTAATGCAGACCAATGATTAATGAAAAAACCCTCCTTTCAAGGGCCTTAATCTCAGGATCCCTACTATGATCCCCATGAACGGGAGGGTGGTTATTAATCAGGGGTCTGGGTTAAGCTTCGCTTGCGATCTGCCGGAGCTGGTGGACTGTGGAAGTACGGGTCTCCTTACAAGGGGCTTCCTCAAATATGGGTTCAAATAGGGATTACGGGGAATATGTTGGGGGTTGTATAGGGATAACGGAAACAAAATGGAAACTTCTGTTTAGGGTTTTGTGATATTTGGTGGCATGTCTTTTCCAGTTTCGGCTTTGCTGTATGCCTACTGAGTCCAAGTACCTAAATGATGGGATTCTAGGACCCTAAACCCTAAACCCAAATCCAAATCCTGTAATCTGATTTTTTGTACCCCAGGGATGTTTCTTTTCTTACCTAGAACTCCAAATACCATTAGTAATAACCCCTAACCCCATATGAGCTATTATATGA